ATAATAAAAAATAAAATACTTAAAAAAAAACTTTTTAAAAAACCACGTTTTTCTTGTGGACTAAAAAGTAGAAAATAACTATTTACATACATTTGATGACAAAAAACGTGGGTACGTTCACCATCAAATTTCCCGACCCATCTGCCCGACCCACGTTTTTTGTCATCAAATGTATGTAAATAGTTATTTTCTACTTTTTAGTCCACAAGAAAAACGTGGTTTTTTAAAAAGTTTTTTTTAAGTATTTTATTTTCTCCTTTTTAGTCCGTTGCTACACATGAAAAACGTGGTTTTTAAAAAAGTTTTTTATATAGTTTATTTTCTACTTTATCTAATGACTTGATTAAGTATGAATTGACTAAGTGTTTATAAATACACGGACTAAAAAAATCTTGAGCGACCAGGATTCGAACCTGGGTTGTCGCGGCCACAACGCGAAGTACTAACCACTATACGATCACGGCCAGCGCGCTCACATCGATTGGGGCCGAAGTAACTGTGTCTATAAGCCTCCAGTCTTGTCGGTATCTTTAGAAATCATGTCCTCAATTTTATGGTCCTTGGGGCGTAATTAAATTAAGCTAATTACCGTCTCTAATTGCTTGTTTTTATGATTGCATCTGAAATTGTTAGGCGAAAGTAGCCTACATGCCAAATTTCAGATCTATTGAGCAATCAGAAGTGGGTTAATTTTCGATGTCAATTTTAACAACAAACACACGCGAAGCTGAGTTAATAAAAACGTGTTAAAAACGTGTTAAAAAAATACTTAAAAAAAACTTAAAAAAAAACCACGTTTTTCTTGTGGACTAAAAAGTAGAAAATAACTATTTACATACATTTGATGACAAAAAACGTGGGTACGTTCACCATCAAATTTCCCGACCCATCTGCCCGACCCACGTTTTTTGTCATCAAATGTATGTAAATAGTTATTTTCTACTTTTTAGTCCACAAGAAAAACGTGGTTTTTTAAAAAGTTTTTTTTAAGTATTTTATTTTCTCCTTTTTAGTCCGTTGCTACACATGAAAAACGTGGTTTTTAAAAAAGTTTTTTATATAGTTTATTTTCTACTTTATCTAATGACTTGATTAAGTATGAATTGACTAAGTGTTTATAAATACACGGACTAAAAAAATCTTGAGCGACCAGGATTCGAACCTGGGTTGTCGCGGCCACAACGCGAAGTACTAACCACTATACGATCACGGCCAGCGCGCTCACATCGATTGGGGCCGAAGTAACTGTGTCTATAAGCCTCCAGTCTTGTCGGTATCTTTAGAAATCATGTCCTCAATTTTATGGTCCTTGGGGCGTAATTAAATTAAGCTAATTACCGTCTCTAATTGCTTGTTTTTATGATTGCATCTGAAATTGTTAGGCGAAAGTAGCCTACATGCCAAATTTCAGATCTATTGAGCAATCAGAAGTGGGTTAATTTTCGATGTCAATTTTAACAACAAACACACGCGAAGCTGAGTTAATAAAAACGTGTTAAAAACGTGTTAAAAAAATACTTAAAAAAAACTTAAAAAAAAACCACGTTTTTCTTGTGGACTAAAAAGTAGAAAATAACTATTTACATACATTTGATGACAAAAAACGTGGGTACGTTCACCATCAAATTTCCCGACCCATCTGCCCGACCCACGTTTTTTGTCATCAAATGTATGTAAATAGTTATTTTCTACTTTTTAGTCCACAAGAAAAACGTGGTTTTTTAAAAAGTTTTTTTTAAGTATTTTATTTTCTCCTTTTTAGTCCGTTGCTACACATGAAAAACGTGGTTTTTAAAAAAGTTTTTTATATAGTTTATTTTCTACTTTATCTAATGACTTGATTAAGTATGAATTGACTAAGTGTTTATAAATACACGGACTAAAAAAATCTTGAGCGACCAGGATTCGAACCTGGGTTGTCGCGGCCACAACGCGAAGTACTAACCACTATACGATCACGGCCAGCGCGCTCACATCGATTGGGGCCGAAGTAACTGTGTCAACAAGCCTCCAGTCTTGTCGGTATCTTTAGAAATCATGTCCTCAATTTTATGGTCCTTTGGGCGTAATTAAATTAAGCTAATTACGGTCTCTAATTGCTAGTTTTTATGATTGCATCTGAAATTGTTAGGCGAAAGTAGCATGCATGCCAAATTTCAGGTCTCTAGAGCAATCAGAAGTGGGCTAATTTTCGATGTCAATTTTAACAACAAACAAATCCACACATCCACAAACGCGAAGCTGAGTTAAGAAAAACGTGTTAAAAACGTGTTAAAAACGTGTTAATATATGCTTATCCCACTTTCCGTTCAACCCCCGGAAAATTCTATTACCTCCCCTGCTAAAAAAACTATTCTATTAATATTTATTACGATAGATTTCCACCTTTGACCTCATGTATTGCTTGTTGTCCTCTACCATATTATTATTTTGTTCTGTCTCTGTAGTTGAGGCGGTCACGTGCTATCAATGTAATGGTGTGAGTGACACGGCGTCATGCTCTAGTTCAGTTCTCCAGTGTGCAGAGGATGAGGTAATCAATATAGAACTGATCGGTTCAGTTGTCCTGCAGAATAAACAACACAAGCTAAGGAATCAGCCCATGCGTGAAACTTGCATTTTTGACAGAATTTCATTTCACGTTCTTTATTACATCCCTTTATCAAGGGAAGTAATTCTCCCAGTCATTGCTGAGAAATCAGTAAAATAACTGACGGTGTTATCGACGAAATGCCGTCAGCATCATTAAGTTTAATTTGTAATTGTTTTACTTTTGCTCGAGAAGGGAAAGAATGATAAAATGATAAAATTATTAGTTTGACTGGCAGAAAAAAAATGTGGTACACATAATTTAGTTGTGCAGAGGTGTAAATGTGAGGCGAATAATGAATTGGTTTTGTGCTTACAGTATTGTTTTGCCGAGAGAAAAGTGGACAATGCATTACGAGAATATTACATCATGGGGTGTCAGAAACAGTTGGTAAGTCTCATTACATCGTGTGGTGTCGTACATCCGTAACTTTTATTACATCTTATGTCTGTCATTAGCTGGTCACAGTAGCGTAGCGAGGGGGGGTGGGGGCGGGACATATGTCCCCGGGCGCCGACCTTAGGGGGCGCCAAAATGGGTTGGAAAAATAAATTGAAAGGTCGAGGGGGGTGCAAATCGAAAGTTTGAGGGGGGGATGCAAATCGAAATCTTGAGGGAGGGGGTGCAAATCGAAAGTTTGAGGGGGGGGGGTGCAAATCGAAAGTTTGAGGGGGGGGGGGTGCAAATCGAAATCTTGAAGGGGGGGGGTGCAAATCGAAAAGTTTGTCCCCGGGCGCCGGAAAGGGTCGCTTCGCCTCTGGCTGGTCATTCTATTGACATCAAGGGATGCCGTCTGTTGATAAAACACATGGGATGTTAGAAGTTGTTGCTAAGTCTCAGTACTTGATCAACGGCTCATCTCGTTTGGTTTTAAATTAAATAAATTTTGCTTGTAAAGTTGATCAACTGTTACTGAAAAATAGGGACCCGACATATATTATAAGTTAAAAGTTGTAAAGTTGATCAACTGTTACTGAAAAATAGGGAACTGACATATATTATAAGTTAAAATCAAATAATATTTGATACGTCAGTCTTTATTTGAAAACAGCAGCAAACAAAAACGCTTCAACAAACCTAATGCGAATGAGACAAATAAATATTTAGACTGCACAATGTTGAGACAAACAAAAAATCCAGATTTCCATTATACTTCCGACACTCGGAAATCCTGTTGACCGCCCACAGACATGTGGGATAAAGGAAATAATTTCCTGATTGTATCACATCCCTAGACTTGTCAGACTCTGGAGAGCTCCGGTATAATTGTTGGCAGGAAAAGGAACGAGAGAAATCAGCCTACAGAGGAGAGAACAACAAGGGAAGCAACACTGTGTAACCGCTGCTGTTACACGAGTTACTGTAACTTAGGCATTTGCGGACATGTAGGTATGTAGGATCGTCACATGTGGGATGGGTTCAAAACTTTGACTTGCACGTAGGTTGCAGGGAAAATGTTCTTGACTATGTGGGCTATTAAACTTCAATTTAACGGGAAAATTAGTGTCATCTCAATAATTGCGTTTTAAGTGACCGAGAACCGACTTAGACTGACAGAAATGTCATATAAAAGGGTTCAATGATTTAAACTTTTGAATTCTTTAAGTAAAAAAAAAAAAAAAAACATTTGGAAAAAAAATTCCATAAAAATGTATACTAAATTGTTTTCAAACAGCTGAGAATTTTTCTTGTCCGAAGCACAAAGGTATTTAATTTAAATAGGGTATTGCAAAATTTACTTTAACACATCTATTTGATAGTTAAACGGATTATTAAGTACAAATAATTAATGAGAAAACTCAAAGAAAGATAAATGCAGTTTAGGCTTTAGGTCTTCGATGGTATAATAGATTGGAATAATCAATCTTTGTAACCTTGTAATTAATCTTTCTATATAAAAAGCAATGTATTTTTGTTTGTTTGTCTTTTATGCATCGCTTCACTTTTCATGAAACTTTGGGAAGTTGTTTAGAATACTCCTAAAGCGCTATCTAAAAAAATACTAACTGATGGCTTTTATTTTTGTACTAGATATAGTAATTAGTAGTGTATGTTGTAAGTCAGTAGTCTGTTACAAGTTCTTTTATTTTTTATTTTTATCCCGTTGATGTTATTTTGATGTTACGCTTTGCAATTGTTTGCTTTTACGGTGTAAAAAGCTATATACTCTTAGTCTTAAAGAATACAATTATATATATATATATATATATATATATATATATATATATATATTTATATATATATATATATATTTATATATATATATATATATATATATATATATATATATATATATATATATATATATATATATATATATATATATATATATATATATATATATATACATATAACACAACAACATACGCCCCCCCCACTGATACATACCACTGTACCCACAGGTGTGACGCCCACCAACATACCCGCACTATCTGACATCTATGTCCGGCTGTTTGCTGGGAACAACCCGTACGAGGGCACGGTGTCTGTCTACTACAACGGTGTGTGGGGAACTGTGTGTGAAGACAACTGGTCAGCAGACGACGCCCGGGTAGTGTGTGGCATGCTGGGATACAGGGGGTAACTGATCCGTTCATTGACCTTAGGGGTCACCTGGGATACAGGGGGTAACTGACCCGTTCATTGACCTTAGGGGTCACCTGGGATACAGGGGGTAACTGACCCGTTCATTGACCTTAGGGGTCACCTGGGATACAGGGGGTAACTGACCCGTTCATTGACCTTAGGGGTCACCTGGGATACAGGGGGTAACTGACCCGTTCATTGACCTTAGGGGTCACCTGGGATACAGGGGGTAACTGACCCGTTCATTGACCTTAGGGGTCACCTGGGATACAGGGGGTAACTGACCCGTTCATTGACCTTAGGGGTCACCTGGGATACAGGGGGTAACTGACCCGTTCATTGACCTTAGGGGTCACCTGGGATACAGGGGGTAACTGACCCGTTCATTGACCTTAGGGGTCACCTGGGATACAGGGGGTAACTGACCCGTTCATTGACCTTAGGGGTCACCTGGGATACAGGGGGTAACTGACCCGTTCATTGACCTTAGGGGTCACCTGGGATACAGGGGGTAACTGACCCGTTCATTGACCTTAGGGGTCACCTGGGATACAGGGGGTAACTGACCCGTTCATTGACCTTAGGGGTCACCTGGGATACAGGGGGTAACTAGAGTTTGACCCGTTCATTGACCTTAGGGGTCACCTGGGATACAGGGGGTAACTAGAGTTTGACCCGTTCGTTGATATATTCACGATGAATTCTCTGACTGTATGTTTTCCTGCTAATGTTTCTACATCTGGCCACTCCCAGAAATGGAGCAACAGGCACCCAGGGTGGCTGGTTCCTGCCTGGCCAGGCTCAGATTTGGTTGGATGACGTCACATGTAGCGGCACGGAGACGAGCTTGTCACAGTGTACCCACGGGGCGTGGGGCGTGTCAAACTGTGCTCACAACGAAGATGCCGGGGTCATTTGTTCATCAGGTCAGTCTACTAAAGCAACAACTCAAAAACTTTGTGTGTTGGCGGGGTTGGATGGTAGAGCTTACGCCTGCTAACCGAAATTCTCGAATTCGAATCTGGGTTCTTGTCAGTAGAAAATCCCTGAGTCCACCCAGCTCTGATGGGTACCTGACTCTCGTTATGAAAAGGCGGCTTAGCTTAATGTTGACTACGGATGAACTCTATTTCACCTGTTCCATGGACCTTAAAGTTCAATAGGGTGCTTTACTTACTAATATAAGGTACATCACGATAGTAAACTGTTGGAATTCGTGAATCACTTAAAAAATATATTTATGTTGGTAAAGGTTAATATAAGTCGTAAAAAGTTAATTTATGTTGGAAAAGGTTAATTTATGTTGGAAAAGATTAATTAATGTCGGAAAAGGTTAATTTATTTTGGAAAAGGTTATTGTTTAATTAAAAATGTGACGTTCACCTGTCAGTTGTTCCCGAAGATGACGTCATTTTTCTGGTGGACACTGGATCCAATGGAGTGATATATCGCATGAACCTACGGACTCAGTCCTTCACACCCATCCCCCTGCTCTCCATCTACTCCGCCAGCACCCTGGACTACGACCCGAGCACGGGGAGAATTTACTTCACAGACGCCAGACACTCTCAGATCGTCAGCATGAGGTTTGATGGCACTGACCTGACCATCCTAACACAGCTGGACATCAGTGAGTCGTTTGTATAGTTTAATGCACTACAAGTGGTGTTGGCATTCTGATGAGCATGGTGTGTTTGTTTTGTTTATAGCACACGTTATGTTCTGTATTGAGTAAAGTATTTGAGAGGTTGTGACAAGTGTTTTTTGTTCCCCACTCGCACATTGGTTATAATGCGAACTGGCGCATTTAATGATTGGACAAGCGTCGAGAGACACAGACAGTCGGGAGATACAGACAGACTGTAGAGATATACAGACAGACTTTCGGGAGATACAGACAGACTTTAGGGAGATATACAGACAGACTTTAGGGAGATACAGACTGACTTTAGGGAGATACAGACTGACTCTAGGGAGCTACTGACTGAAGGACTATATATTTTAAACACTAAAAGAAAGAGTTAGGCCATTGACAGAAAATGGTTCAATCGTGTAGGCTATGTTAAAAACACTAAAATTACGCCGTAAAGTGTAATTTACTACGGTTTGTAAGAGAAATTTTGGGGGCTCCTAAAAAACTGAGGGCCCCTGGCTGCTTCTCTCTGAGCTTCCCTTAATCAGACTCGTTAGTACTCATCGTAACTCATTGATAAAACTTCTTAAAATATTGCGTCAGCCTTTCTTCTGGGACCGCAGCAATGCACGGGTCGGGTAGGCTGATAGTATAAAAACAATGTTTAATTCCAATCACCCGACAGACGCTACTCCTAACCCTGATCTTAATGTCCTCAGATGCCCAGGTAGAAAATGCCGTGGTCGACCCCATCAATAAAATTCTTGTCTATACCGACGATGGTCTGAATGTCATTGGTTCCATTAACCTGGACGGCAGCGACTTGAGAAACGTGGTCAGCTCAAATGTGGAAAGTCCAAGAGGTTTGGCGCTTGACCCAAGAACAAGGTAACCCTTAGATGAAAAGTAAAAAGTCGTAAGTGTTGGATGATAAAGTTTCGTATTTTCTCATCCGCCCTGCGGTAATTAAGTCTTCACTTACTCGTCAATATATGATCTTCACTATACAAACTGAAGACACTAGAGAATTTAGTGGATTGAGTGGATGCCTAGTAACCAGGAAGTTTGTTTTTGAGTAATGCACATCTTAGAATTACTACCAAATATAAGCCACGTCACCCCCCCCCCCCCCCCCCCAACCCATCGATTTTGTATTTCATTTCTATAAGGAGATGACTGCGTTACCGTTTTACACTTTTCATGTTACTATTTCTTAGAAATGTATCATTTTAAGTTTTACGGAGAGATTATATTTTATTTTTATGAGGTTTTAATTTCAGCGAGCTCTGGTAGTAGCAGTAAAAAAAAGTTTCACATTTGTACAGCATGCCAGAGCTTCGTGCTAAGTAGAAACAGAGGTATAGAGAAAGTACTGTACTACTTGATAGTTAGATGATAAACGTATCTATTTATAGGATAATCTACTGGACTGACTGGGGGACCCATCCAAAGATCGAGGCTGTCGACTATGATGGATTTAATAGAAAAACATTGGCCAATACTAATCTGAGATGGCCTAATGAAGTGGTCATCGACTATACAAGTTAGTGCTTCAGTTTAATACGTAAACTATGAAGTGGTCATCGACTATACAAGTTAGTGCTTCAGTTCAATACGTAAACAATGTAGTGGTCATCGACTATACAAGTTAGTGCTTCAGTTTAATACGTAAACAATGTAGTGGTCATCGACTATACAAGTTAGTGCTTCAGTTTAATACGTAAACAATGTAGTGGTCATCGACTATACAAGTTAGTGCTTCAGTTCAATACGTAAACAATGTAGTGGTCATCGACTATACAAGTTAGTGCTTCAGTTCAATACGTAAACAATGTAGTGGTCATCGACTATACAAGTTAGTGCTTCAGTTTAATACGTAAGCTATAAAGTTGTCATTGGCCATTCTAGTGAGTGCCCGACTTTAGTACTTGAACTCACCAATATTTATGGAGATTAATTTAGCCGTATTGTTTCAGCTGTTTGTAATTTCTTATTAAGTTTATAAGTTTTCCATTTATATACTCGCTTTTAAGTAAGTCTTTACACATTTGCCCGAACTAAAATGATCAAACGTTCATACTATTATAAACCTGTAGAAAAGAATCCGATGTGTTAAGTGAAGTGTGATTGACTTGAATTATTTTTTTACCAGCCAACATGCTGTATTTTGTTGACGGTGGTCTGGGAACACTAGAAACTATGGATCTCAATGGCGCCAACAGAAGGGTTATTTTAAGAGATAGCAGCGCCCATTTCTTCTCGCTGGATGTGTTTGGAGATTACTTGTACTACACTGACTGGAACAGACAGTTACGTCATGATTCTAGATATCAGTTGTACAACCGTTTTAGTTTTATGTTGAAAGTTTGGTTGTAATATTGCGTCTGAGTTGAAAGTTTGTTTTAATGTTGAATCTTTTGTTGTGGTGTTTGCGATTTGAATTGGTTGTTTTAATGTTGAATGTTTTGTTGTGGTGTTTGTGATTTGAATGGTTGTTTTAGTGTTGAATGTTTTGTTGTAATTTTGTGACTAAGTTGACCTTGGGTTAAATGTGACAATCTTGCTGTAATGTTGTGTCTGACTCGAGCTATTCCACGTGAAACCTAACGCAGCCTTTGTCTATCTCAGCACGCCGATGCGGGTTAAAAAAGATGGCTCAGGTCTGACTTCAGTCGGACCGCCAAGCTTCAAACAACTGTCAGAGATCAAGATACACAAGTACGGCACTGATCTGGCGGGTAGGTTTGATTGGCAGGTGTCAGAGGTGGTAGAACTTGATTGGCAGGTGTCAGAGGTGGTAGAACTTGATTGGCAGGTGTCAGAGGTGGTAGAACTTGATTGGCAGGTGTCAGAGGTGGTAGAACTTGATTGGCAGGTGTCAGAGGTGGTAGAACTTGATTGGCAGGTGTCAGAGGTGGTAGAACTTGATTGGCAGGTGTCAGAGGTGGTAGAACTTGATTGGCAGGTGTCAGAGGTGGTAGAACTTGATTGGCAGGTGTCAGAGGTGGTAGAACTTGATTGGCAGGTGTCAGAGGTGGTAGAACTTGATTGGCAGGTGTCAGAGGTGGTAGAACTTGATTGGCAGGTGTCAGAGGTGGTAGAACTTGATTGGCAGGTGTCAGAGGTGGTAGAACTTGATTGGCAGGTGTCAGAGGTGGTAGAACTTGATTGGCAGGTGTCAGAGGTGGTAGAACTTGATTGGCAGGTGTCAGAGGTGGTAGAACTTGATTGGCAGGTGTCAGAGGTGGTAGAACTTGATTGGCAGGTGTCAGAGGTGGTAGAACTTGATTGGCAGGTGTCAGAGGTGGTAGAACTTGATTGGCAGGTGTCAGAGGTGGTAGAACTTGATTGGCAGGTGTCAGAGGTGGTAGAACTTGATTGGCAGGTGTCAGAGGTGGTAGAACTAGATTTGTAGGCGTCAGGTGTTGTCCACTTTAGTTTTACAGTTTGTAAGTTCATCTAAAAGTTAATTCTTATATCGATTATTGCTGTTTATAAAATAAATAAGGAGCCCTCAGTTAAATGCTGATAGGTTACATGCTAGTACAAATCTACTCTCCTCATTCATAACTTTTCCTACCTGAATCATAACTTCCTATCTTTGTCATAAATGATCCTGCCGAAGTAAGTTTCATTCTTCAAGGACTGAGATAAAGTGTTCAAGGGCTGAGATAAAGTGTTGCTCTAATCTTCTCGCCATCAGGTCTGGCAACACAATCACCCCTACACTTTGACCAGAGCCGCGTGTTCGTGAGACTGGCTGGGTACGGGGACGCTACCACAGGGAGGGTGGAGATCTACGCCAACGGTCAGTGGGGGACAATATGTGACGACACGTGGGACGACAATGACGCTAAGGTGGTGTGTCACATGCTGGGTTTCGACAGGTGATGACCTAATTAAAAACAGAGTGCTTACATCTTCTGTGCATGATCATTAGTTAAGATGAAGAGTCGAGTGTTGTATCCCTTAAATTTACGTTATAACTAACTCTATTGTAATATTTAACGGTGTCTGTCTACCTTAGACGCCACCATTCACCTCATATTTTTAGATTTCCCTGAATAATATCGCGCCAGTGACTTAGTATTGACAAATTAAATAACATCTATATACCATCGTTATAGCCTATTGACTATCATCTAAAAATAGACCATAGTTATAGTCTGCTGACCATCATCTAAAAATAGACCATCGTTATAGTCTATTGACTATCCCCTAAAAATAGACCATAGTTATAGCCTGCTGACCATCATCTACAGAACAAAAGCCAAAGCAACCTCCAACAGTGTCAATGGCGCTGGTAACGGACTTATATCCTTGGATGGGGTTTACTGCACTGGCAGTGAGAACCACATAGCCACATGTGGCATAGACCCAGACAACTGGGCCGTCCACAACTGTGCTCACACTGAGGACGCGGGCGTTCTCTGTGAACCACCTGTACAAACAGGTGTTACAGGTGAGAACATTTCAAGGTATTCACAATCTTTGCTAGTCCAGTTGGTTTGTGTTTTAGATAGCCCTATACACTTGTATGCCTGATAGACCTATTGACTTATGTGTCATATAGTCCAATTGGCTTGTTTCAGATATTCCAATTGATTTGTTTTAGATAGTCCAATTGACTTGTTTCAGATAGTCCAGTTGGCTTGTTTTAGATAGTCCAGTTGGCTTGTTTCAGATAGTCCAGTTGGCTTGTTTCAGATAGTCCAGTTGGCTTGTTTCAGATAGTCCAATTGATTTGTTTCAGATAGTCCAATTGACTTGTGTTTTAGTTAGCCAAATTGATTTGTTTCAGATATTCGAATTCATTTGTTTCAGATAACCCAATTCATTTGTTTCAGATAGTCGAATTGATTTGTTTCAGATAGTCCAATTGACTTATGTTTCAGATAGTCCTATTGACTTATGTTTCAGATAGTCCAATTGACTTATGTTTCAGATAGTCCAATTGACTTATGTTTCAGATAGTCCAATTGACTTATGTTTCAGATAGTCCAATTGACTTATGTTTCAGATAGTCTAATTGACTTATGTTTCAGATAGTCCAATTGACTTATGTTTCAGATAGTCCAATTGACTTATGTTTCAAATAGTCCAATTGACTTATGTTTCAGATAGTCCAATTGACTTATGTTTCAGATAGTCCTATTGACTTATGTTTCAGATAATTCAATTTACTTTTTTCAGATAGTTCAATTGACTTATGCTTCAGATAGTCCAATTGACTTATGTTTCAGATAGTCCAAATCATTTATGTTTCAGATAGTCCAATTGACTTATGTTTCAGATAGTCCAATTAATTTATGTTTCAGATAGTCCAATTGACTTATGTTTCAGATAGTCCTATTGACTTATGTTTCAGATAGTCCTATTGACTTATGTTTCAGATAGTCTAATTGACTTATGTTTCAGATAGTCCTATTGACTTATGTTTCAGATAGTTCAATTAATTTATGTTTCAGATAGTCCAATTAATTTATGTTTCAGATAGTCCAATTGACTTATGTTTCAGATAGTCCAAATCATTTATGTTTCAGATAGTCCAATTGACTTATGTTTCAGATAGTCCAATTAATTTATGTTTCAGATAGTCCAATTGACTTATGTTTCAGATAGTCCTATTGACTTATGTTTCAGATAGTCCAATTGACTTATGTTTCAGATAGTCCAATTGACTTATGTTTCAGATAGTCCAATTGACTTGTTTTAGATAGTCCAATTGACTGGTTTTAGATAGCCCTATACACTTGTGTGTCTGATACACCAGTTGACTTATGTTTCAGATAGTGCAATTGCCTTATTTCAGATGATTCAATTTACTTATTTCAGATAGTCCAATTGACTTATGTTTCAGATAGTCCAATTGACTTATGTTTCAGATAGTCCAATTGACAATTTTCTGATCTTCGCTCAGGTCGATACTGGACTAATCGTGCGAATGGATCTAAACACATACAGGTGAGTGGGGTGGAGATGATAGGTTATCAAATTACCACGTAACTCACACAGACGTTTGCAAGTAAACCGAATAGATGACATTAGCAGACATGTCAGAATTTCAATTTGTCCATTTAAACTATGATACCAATTTGTCATTTAAACTATGACACCAATTTGTCATTTAAACTATGACACCAATTTATCATTTAAACTATGACACCAATTTGTAATTTAAACTATGATACCAAGTTGTCATTTAAACTATGACATAAAGTTGTCATTTAAACTATGATACCAAGTTGTCATTTAAACTATGACACCAATTTGTCATTAAAACTATGATACCAATTTGTCATTAAAACTATGACACCAATTTGTCATTTAAACTATGACACCAATTTGTCATTTAAACTATGACACCAATTTATCATTTAAACTATGACACCAATTTGTAATTTAAACTATGATACCAAGTTGTCATTTAAACTATGACATAAAGTTGTCATTTAAACTATGATACCAAGTTGTCATTTAAACTATGACACCAATTTGTCATTAAAACTATGATACCAATTTGTCATTAAAACTATGACACCAATTTGTCATTTAAACTATGACACCAATTTGTCATTTAAACTATGACACCAATTTGACATTTAAAATATGACACCAAGTTGTCATTTAAACTATGACACCGATTTATCATTTAAACTATGACACCAATTTGTCATTTAAACTATGACATCAATTTGTCCTTTAAACTTTGACACCAATTTGTCATTTAAACTTTGACACCAATTTGTCATTTAAACTATGACACCAAGTTGTCATTTAAACTATGACACCAATTTGTCATTTAAACTATGACACCAATTTGTCATTTAAACTATGACACCAATTTGTCATTTAAACTATGACACCAATTTGTCATTTAAACTTTGACACCAATTTGTCATTTAAACTATGACACCAATTTGTCATTTAAACTATGACACCAATTTGTCATTTAAACTTTGACACCAATTTGTCCATGCCCACAGCTACACAATGATCCCAGTGGGCTACTCACCCAACCCTGTGGCCATCACCTTTGACCCCAACGACCAACTCATCTACTTCTCTGAGGTGTACACAAACGGCTCAGAGATTCGAACCACGAACCACAGAGGGACCAGTGTACACTCTCTGCCGAATATTCCGCCAGGTCAGTCATACTTTCTCTGGTTTCAAATATTTCATTGTCTTTTTAAAAAAATATATGCCCATAGAGTCTAAACATTTTTAAGCAAAAATGTGCTTTTAAAAATTAACTCTAGATACATCAATTCTAATAGACACACATTCTTACATCATTATTGTTGACATGGATTTAAAAAAACGTGTTTAATTAGATATTGCAATCAGAGCGACCGTAAAATAATAAAAAATTAAAACTTAAGCCAGAAAATAATTCAGAAATGTAATATTTTTAGAATCAATGTTATAGAAGTTGCAAATCAAGAGAACATGAAAATGATTTTTTGAGTTTCATGCTACATTTCTATTTGTTTTCATCAAGCCTAAGTTATAACCTGAAGTTTCACTTGCATACGACAAACATGGATTGGCTTTACAGGAATTCTGTGGTCGATATTCTGAAAACCCAATTAAAAATAAACCGGGAGTGATCTCCCCTAAACTTTCTCGAAAGTTTTTTTGAGAAATCGGAAATAGCGTAAATTACTACTTCCGTTCGACGGAAATTACTCAAAATTTGATAGAAGGCAGAGAATTAAATCTTTTACTTATGTGGGAAATTTCATTTGTCTATCTGAAAATAGTACTCAAGTAATAAGCTTTTGAAAAATTCAAAGTAGAAAAAGTTCCACTTCCGGTTATCGGAAATCGCTCAAAAGTTGATACAGATCTACGATTGTAATATAATACTTATATATGAAATTTCATCAACCTAGCTGTAACGGTACTCAAGTTATTGTGTTTACACACACACACACACACACGCAGACACACAGACACACATACAAACAGACATACGGAAAAGATTGCAAAACTATGTTTTTCCGACTCAGGGAGCCCTAAAACGTCGAGATTTGCAAAATTCTCATTTTTTTTTTGCACGATTACTTCGTATACACGAGAAGGTAAAAATACAAATCTATAGCAATTTGTACTCAAAACTGTCGATACAATTTTTAAAGTTTAGCCATTTTTGTTTTCTATTGCTGTGATAAATAAATTCAACTAAATTGCTTTTGGCTTTTAAAAAGCTTTCCTTAGTTATTGAAATTACGACAATATTTAGTAAAGTCCAACAAAAGTCAAACAGATTTTTAACCATATTTATTTAAATAACAAGGACATCATTTTTAAAATATTCAAAGTGCCTTTCGAATACTTAGAAGACTATTCTCGGTTGAGTCGATTTCAAGTGAAACAAATACGCTTTGTTCTCTATCCTTCGAGTAATTGTAAGCATTAACTTATGTAGCTGTGTCGTGTGTTTGATGTTGATCGATCTATGTGTAGCTGAGCCGTGTGTTTGATGTTGATCGATCTCTGTGTATCTGAGCCTTGTGTTTGATGTTGATCGATCTATATGTAGCTGTGCCGTGTGTTAGGTGTTTGATGTTGATCGATCTATATGTAGCTGTGCCGTGTGTTAGGTATTTGATGTTGATCGATCTCTGTGTAGCTGAGCCGTGTGTTTGATGTTGATCGATCTCTGTGTAGCTGAGCCGTGTGTTTGATGTTGATCGATCTCTGTGTAGTTGAGCCGTGTGTTTGATGTTGATCGATCTCTTTACCCAAACACCAGGCAGTGTGATTGACGGGCTTGCCATCGACAAGTCCAGGAATGTGCTGTTCTATACGGATGCCGGCAACAAGAGGATCGTATCGGTGGATCCAAACGGTTCTGGCTTCAAGATAGTCAGCGCCAACGTGGACCAACCGCGGGGTCTGGCACTCGATAGGAAGACTGGGTAGGTTGTTCCTCATCAACTACATCAATAGATAGGAAGACTGGGTAGGTTGTTCCTCATCAACTACATCAATAGATAGGAAGACGGGGTAGGTTGTTCCTCATCAACTACATCAATAGATAGGAAGACTGGGTAGGTTGTTCCTCATCAACTACATCAATAGATAGGCAGACTGGGTAGGTTGTTCCTCATCAACTACATCAATAGATAGGAAGACTGGGTAGGTTGTTCCACATCAACTACATCAATAGATAGGAAGACGGGGTAGGTTGTTCCTCATCAACTACATCAATAGATAGGAAGACTGGGTAGGTTGTTCCTCATCAACTACATCAATAGATAGGAAGACTGGGTAGGTTGTTCCACATCAACTACATCAATAGATAGGAAGACGGGGTAGGTTGTTCCTCATCAACTACATCAATAGATAGGAAGACTGGGTAGGTTGTTCCTCATCAACTACATCAATAGATAGGAAAACTGGGTAGGTTGTTCCTCATCAACTACATCAATAGATAGGAAGACTGGGTAGGTTGTTCCTCATCAACTACATCAATAGATAGGAAGACTGGGTAGGTTGTTCCTCATCAACTACATCAATAGATAGGAAGACTGGGTAGGTTGTTCCACATCAACTACATCAATAGATAGGAAGACTGGGTAGGTTGTTCCTCATCAACTACATCAATAGATAGGAAGACTGGGTAGGTTGTTCCTCATCAACTACATCAATAGATAGGAAGACTGGGTAGGTTGTTCCACATCAACTACATCAATAGATAGGAAGACTGGGTAGGTTGTTCCTCATCAACTACATCAATAGATAGGAAGACTGGGTAGGTTGTTCCTCATCAACTACATCAATAGATAGGAAGACTGGGTAGGTTGTTCCTCATCAACTACATCAATAGATAGGAAGACTGGGTAGGTTGTTCCACATCAACTACATCAATAGATAGGAAGACTGGGTAGGTTGTTCCTCATCAACTACATCAATAGATAGGAAGACTGGGTAGGTTGTTCCTCATCAACTACATCAATAGATAGGAAGACTGGGTAGGTTGTTCCACATCAACTACATCAATAGATAGGAAGACTGGGTAGGTTGTTCCTCATCAACTACATCAATAGATAGGAAGACTGGGTAGGTTGTTCCTCATCAACTACATCAATAGATAGGAAGACTGGGTAGGTTGTTCCTCATCAACTACATCAATAGATAGAAAGAATGGTTAGGTTGTTCCTCATCAACTACATCAATAGATAGGAAGACTGGGTAGGTTGTTCCTCATCAACTACATCACTAAATAGGAAGACTGGGTAGGTTGTTCCTCATCAACTACATCAATAGATAGGAAGACTGGGTAGGTTGTTCCACATCAACTACATCAATAGATAGGAAGACTGGGTAGGTTGTTCCTCATCAACTACATCAATAGATAGGAAGACTGGGTAGGTTGTTCCTCATCAACTACATCAATAGATAGGAAGACTGGGTAGGTTGTTCCTCATCAACTACATCAATAGATAGGAAGACTGGGTAGGTTGTTCCACATCAACTACATCAATAGATAGGAAGACTGAGTAGGTTGTTCCTCATCAACTACATCAATAGATAGGAAGACTGGGTAGGTTGTTCCTCATCAACTACATCAATAGATAGGAAGACTGGGTAGGTTGTTCCACATCAACTACATCAATAGATAGGAAGACTGGGTAGGTTGTTCCTCATCAACTACATCAATAGATAGGAAGACTGGGTAG